TGACGAGGCTGCGGAAGAGCCGCCGGGCGGGCAGCGCCTCCAGCTGTTTTCAGGAAAGGGGGGGATCAGACCGAGTAGGGGCTGTCGGAAGGTCATGGCGCATTTCTGCCACGAAAAACAGAGAAAAAATACGTCATGACTTTTCCGACAACCCACTACTTTTTAAATACAACTTTCTAAGATATTGATGCAGCTTTAAAAGAATCAAACTTGTGCGGATTTAAAAATTTTTTGCATTTTCAATCTAAAGTTGATCTTTTAAACATTTCTCATAGGTCGCCAGCCAATGGATCTGGGATGTTAAGTGGGACAGCTGGGTCGCAGCTAAACATGAAACGGAAACGTACGTGGCACTGGCCTTGGTGTTTGCTGTTTATTGTGAATAGCTCGCTGCATGTCCTAAGGAATGTTTACTTCTCGACATCCGTGAAACTTATAGATTTGTGAACGGCACAGTAGTTTTGATTAGGTATATTTTTATCTCTAATTGAAGCTTAATTGTACTTTTTTAACAACAAACAAAAGCTGGATTTTTACCTTTATGTTACTAGTTATAGTTATTAAAACGATTACCCTATATATATGAATATATGGATGGTTTAGTGGATTATAATATGAGAAAATTATTTATAATCCTTAGATTTAAGGAAATTATAATTTACTATAGGAAATTATGGTATAACCTTGTAACGTATCAAATTAAGCAAATGTTGAGATAGATTTTGGAAGATTCCTAAAGGCAGATGTATTTTGAATGATATGTTAATACATTGTGTGCATTCTTTTGAAAGGAATTACCAAGTTTGAAAGAAAAACGTTGATATTTAATATGTCCTTAACCTCTCTCCTCAGTCAAAATGCAGACAAACGTGTGTGGTCTTTCCCTTTGTGAGTCTGAGAGTTACGCTCTTTTTAGATGCAAGAATCAAAAAACCTAATACAATTCTTTTTAAAAAAGAGGAAAATTGTATTTTCCAGGCATTTGATCAAGGATCCAGGTACTTTCTGTCTTTGTACTCTCCCCGCAGAACTCTATGTACATTTGTTTAACTTGATAGAATTTAATCGCGTTCTCATGACTAGACTGGTCATAATTTTCTCCCTGGGGCTGGGGCCAGAGCCCACCTTTCCTGAAGCGCACAGCCATGTGAAAAGAGTGGGTACAGCTATAAATTGGAGCTCGTCAAGGAAGCACGGGGCGGGTTTGGGGGAGGCAACCAATAATGTGTGTGACAATCCATGCGATTTTCATAGTTATGTAGTCGTTTCCCATATAATGCCATTTTAGTCAGTGATGGGATGCATATATGATGGTGGTCCCATAAGATTATAACAGAGTGGAAACATTCCTATCGGGCAGCAACATGTGGCTGTCGTAATGTGGCATGACACCTTATAGCTGGCCACAGTGTTCAGTGCAGTGACAGGCTGTGCAGGCTCGTAGCCCAGGAAACAGGCAGAACCACACAGCTTGGGTGTGTGGCAGACTATACCGTCCAGGTGTATGAAGGTGCTCTCTGGTGTTTGCGCAACAATTAAATTGGCCGATGACGCATTTCTCAGAACTTGTCCCCTTCCTGGAGCAGTATGACTGTAAAAGTGGATGTCAGAGATATTGCAATAAAACAAGCCACACAAATTTTTGGTTTCCTAGTATGTATATAAGTTACATTTAATATACTGTAGTCTATTAAGTGTGCAATAGTGTTATGTTCCAAAAACCCAATGTACTTACCTTCATTAAAAAATGCTGACCATCAGGGCCGGCCGAGTGGCTCCGTTGGTTAAGAGATCACTCAATAGTGCGAGCTCTCAGCAATAGGATTGCTGGTTTGATTCCCAGCCCAAGCTGAGCTGCTGCTGAGCTGCCAACAGGTGGCAGGATGGCTCAGCTAAAAAAAAAAAAATGCTGACCATCATCTGAGCCTTCAGCGAGCCCTAATCTTTTTGCTGGTGGAGGTCTTCCTCAATGTTGGTGAAAACGCAGTATTTGCGAAGTGCAGTGAAGCAAAGTGCAATGAAATGAGCTGTGCCTGTATCAGAACTTGAAACAACTGAAATGCAGTAAAAGTACCCGTGAGCTGAGTGATCTATAAACAGGAAGATAGAAAGGTAGAGGAACGCTTTCTTTCTGCTTAATGTGTTCTAATGACTCGGTAATCCAGCACTAACACTTCCATGCTATACAGCACAGACGTGGTAGCTGCAGCCCTGGGGATCTTCTCAGCAGGAGATGGCAGTTGTCACCTTGGCCATGGAAAAGAGGCAGTAATAACCCACCTGTGACCTACTTCCCTTCCCAATGAACTTGTCGGTATTCCTTAGTTGTAAAATATACTGCCTCCTATCTGAGCTGACAGCCTTCCAGCTAGGGCTGTGTGTAAATGAGAACTGCACCTGCCTCCGCAGGTGAGTACTTACTGGTATATGAGTTGTTAGGTAACATAATCAGGCACTTACACCCACGCCTACCGTAGCCCTGGAGCACGGAGTCCTAAATGTTACCTGTGATTATTCGCTCTGACATCTCAAGTACCTTTAGTTCTGCTCTTTTTCTTGCCCACATCTCAACTCCATATATATTTAGCTGTGAAATTTTATAGATTCTGATTCTTTTGAAGTGCCTCAAAATGCACTTCCGTAACTGTAGAAATCTGAACATCCCCTGGTCTGACCTGCTGCTTCTCAAAGCTTTTTACTGCAGGCTACTGGCCTCCCTTTCTTATGTGCTTCTGAAATCCCTCTGTATTCCCAGTCTCTCTCCAGATGTACAACACTTTGTCTCCTGCTTCTCCACCAGCCTGACTTTTTCCCAAGGAGAGTCCAACTGAAAGCCGCTTTTTCTCTCAGGGCCAGGGCCTCAGAGCCAGGAGGTGGGTAGGTGGCCCCTCTGACCTTAGCGCCTCTAGCAGCTGGAAATTTGAGTATCTGGATATACAGCCCTTCACATCTGTGTGTCACCCTGGCTGCTAGTCCCCTGGCTTGTTCCTTCTCATCACCTGGAGACTTCAGCTTCCGGATCACAAGCTTCATCTCTACTTGGCTCCTGCCACCATTCTTTGTGACTTCACTTCCATGCAGATAATCATCCAACAAGGCAGTCCTCGCTTCGTGCCGTCTGATAGGCACACACCTCATTACCACAGTGTACGAGTAGTTAAACACCAGTCCCCAACAATATGTTCTGACTTTCAGTTGCCACGGTGTATTACCTGGGAGTGATTTGGGAAAGAGCAAACTCCACAGCTAACTCTCCAGTGCACACATCTTTATGTAAATAACAGATAGCTTCACGATCCTTTTTCCAAGTCTGTCAGTCGTTGGTCATGGCACATCTGTTACTCGGCTCACAGCAAAGCTTGTGGTTGTGTTGTCTCCTTGTCTCCCAGTGACAAATCCATGCGACGTGTTACAAAATGGGCCATTAAAAGAAGGAATTGGCGGGGCCGGCCGAGTGGCGCATTAGTTAAGAGCTGGCTTGGGATGCCAGAGGGCCCCGGTTCGGATCCCACATATGAGGGCCAGTGACACTGCCCTCCACAGCTAAGATGCTGAACAACAGCTCGACCTGGAGCTGGGCTGCCCTGAGTCGCTGGCGACGGCGTAGGCTGCAGCCCCTGTGACACTGGGTTGCCATGGGCTACCGTGTGTAGCCAGCGGCCAGCAGCCGCAGTGAGCGGCCGTCCAGAAGCCAGCGACTGATCTGCCTCGTCCAGGAAGAGCGCAATGATGGTGCCAACTTGGGCCAGTGAAGCAACGTCCTCCACAACTAGACTGAAGAACAAAGCAACAGCAACTTGTCTGTTCCCCTTCCCCCAAATCCCCAGCACTGTTCCAATTCCCCAATAAAAATCTTTAAAAAAAAAAGAAGGAATTGGCCGGAAAAGATGAAAGTGCATCAAAGAAATAAGTGAATGAAAATGAAGTTGAATGTGATTAGGACATTTGAAAATGATAACATCAAAGCCAAGATAGGATGACAGCTAAGCCTGGATGAAGGTACTGTAGAAACCATAGGGAGAGAAGCCAGTGAGGAGAATAAACAAGGTCAAGTCGTGTCAAAATCTTTAAATTGCTCTAAGAACAGAAACCTGCATATGTCGAGAAAGACCTTCTGCTTTGGATAGAAGACTGGAATGAAATAAAATTCCCTATCAGTTTGGCTAGCTGGCACGCAGGGCAAAGTGTTGGAGTTGCCATGTTGAAAGAAAACTAATTACAAAGGGACCGAAAAACCACCTTTTCCTGCCTTCCGCTAAAGCTGGTTCTGTCACTTTATAAGTCGACATTGATAAAGTGAACTGACATCTTAAGATGCTTAACCATAGAGTTGGGAGGACTATGGGTGGGGCTGGGCCCCTTGTTAGCTCTGGATTCTGACTTCCCGGTCATCCTTATGGTAACTTCTGGGGAGGGATCATAATAAAGGGATTAGCCATCTTGGAACCGGGCTCTTGTGCTGTGTGTGCGCTGCAGGTTGGAGCCCAGTGGTTTTCATTTTTTTTTTTCCTTTTCCCAAATAAACCGTTTCTTTTGTGGATTACTCGGAGAGTTATTTTTCGTCAGTCAACAACATGAATTGTTTAATGTTGAGCTATCTGGAAAGCTGCTAGTCCCGGTCAGGGTGCTGCTGTGAAGTCAGATTAGTGACAGCAAACGGTTGTGGCTGGCGAAAGGATGAAGATGTCCAGAGGAAGTGAAACTGATAACAACTGCACTTTAAAGAAACTCTTGGAGAAATTTCACACCATTAAAAATATAAAAAATAAAGTGTTGGAAACCGACCTGAGCCCAGAAAGAGTATGACAATTTATCAAGATACAGAAAATATAAGTCAGGATGGGCAGAAGACAAGCACACTTCAAACTACTCTTGGTAAACTTTTTACAAAGAAAACATTAATTCTCAGTGTTTCTTATGTTTTAAATTGCAGTGTAGTAAGTAAATGTAAGTTGCACGATCAAAAACATTCCATATACATTTATAATTGGCAGTAAGGGAGTTTAATGTTTCAACAAAAGCTTTTTAAAGTCGTTGGACAATTGCAATCGTTCTCTTTGATTCTTAAAATCGCTTTCATGATTCCGTGGCCGTGCTTACAGTCCTGTGCAATCCCACAAAGCTGGGACTGTGTGTACTTAGCTCCTCAGTTCCTTGACTAACTCACCTGGTTCACCCTGAAGACCTTGTGATCATCAAAGTCAATTTGACCTCTGAACTTTCAATTCCAAGCAGGTTATTCTCCTGCAATTACTTATTTCCTGTCCTTCCAGTTTACCACCTGGAGTACCCTGAAGACAGCCACTCTTCCGCCTTACTGAAATCTCCGACTCTACCTCCCCCCCCCCCCTCTTCTTGCACTTGTTCAGCTTAGCTTACGGCCCTTCAGTATAATCATTCCCTTACGAACACGTCAGGCCCTTTGCCCCTCTTCTTCACCGGGGGCAACTGAGCCGCGTTACCCACTTTTCCTAGCCTGAATTCAAGTAGCTAAACTTGACTGAGAACACTGCAAAACCGGACTGACTGGCTGCACTTTGAACTCATGACCACAAACCCCCAACGGCCAAACCACTTGGCATCCTGGAAACTGCTCTTCCACTGGCTACACCTTCTCTCTCCTCCAGCGTCCTTTCCCGCTCACTTTCAGCGGATGACCTCCCTCATATTTTATTAAGGAAAGAAAAAGTATCAGAGGAAAATCAAGTTTTCCACCAGCAAATCTCTAAACCTATTTCCGTCTGCAGCCACATCCTGTGTTCCCTTCTGTGACAGGGATGGGTCCGGCCAGCTCCCGTTAACGGCTTGGGCCTCCCCGCAGTTGTCTCCTCTCTCTACTGTCACGATGCTCCCCCTTCATGTGTCATTCTCATCAGCATGGTGCTTCCCATCTTCAAAACAACTCACCCCTCCAGCGACTCTTTCTCTGCTGTTACTCTTTGCAATCAAACTGCTCCCCATACTCTGGCTCCAATTCCTAGCCTCCTAGTCTTTCCTTAATTGACTTCAGTCTAGTTTTGAAAGTGCCACTCCACTGAAATACCTTGAAGTAACTACGATTGCTAATGACCCCCACATTGCTGAATTCTCTGTCCCCTAACTCAGCTTCTCAATGGACATAGTTGGCCAGGCCCTCTTTTTGAAACACTAGCCTCTCAGTTTACAGTACTTGACTCTTAGTTTTCTTCCTTCTTTATTTCCATGTATGTCCCTGGACTTCTAGGTCTCCGGCCTTTTTCTCACCTGTATCTACATATTCTAAGTGGTCTCATTCAGTGTTATGCCTTTTTCTCTTCACCACTGTATTGCTAGTGCCTAACTCGGGGTCTAATTCGATAAATAGTAAGGTAGTATTTGATGAACGAATGAGTGAATAAGTGACCCTTTATATTTCTACCACCTAACATAATTCTTAGTTCATAGTTGATTTCCATTAAATATTTGTGAAATAATTGAGTGGACATTATTATTCCAATCCTACAGATGAGGAAACGGAGAGTCAGAAAGTATAAATAATTTATCCATGATCACACAGCTAATAAGTGGCACAGCTGCCATTCAAACTAAAGTCTTATCTTCAAATCTTTGTTGTCATCATTACATCATATTGCACCTGCATGTTTATCCCCAACTCTGCCTTCATCTACCCTATTCTCAAGCCAAATTCAGTGACTGATGTACCTGAATATGCCATGCCTCCTGTTTTCCCAGCTCTCATCTCAGTCTATTGGGGCTTGAGACCCTATTTCCACTTCCAATTGTACATTTTCCTATAGCTGTCCGTCCTACCAATCTCTTAAGATACTTTTCAAATTCCAAGTCAACCCTAACATCTTAATTTTTCTAGTTGCAAGTAAATTTTCTCCCACCTAAAGTGCCTTTAAGTACAATTGTGTATTTGTATCCTATTCTTCCAGCATTGAAATGCCTACAGGCAGCGATTGTAATCCACATAGTGACTCCTTAATATTCTGCCTTGCCTTGGTTGAAAGGAGAGATTACTAATTGTTGATTTGGAATGGTTTTAAATTTGTATTTGAGCTGGAGACAGAATTCCCAAGGAAGAAGAGTAGAACCAAAAAACTGAATATATATACATTAAACTCTATCCAGAGAATCTGACTGAGGCCTTCGTCAATTAAGAGAATTTGGAGAAAGATGCTGAATCTTCTTAGCAGATCCAGACAGTGAAGGCCGTTTTCTTTAGTGGGCTCTTGGTAGTGAAATGGGGAGCTGAGAGAGAAAGTCTAAATTAGGGCCGCTTGGGAGACTAAGCAGTTGGTGATGGCGTTTGTGATGGAGGGCAAGCGGGAAGCCAGGGAAGGGTGGACTCTGAGCCGAAGCAGGCGTCTGCATGAACGCCGTGGGCTAGAAGCCGTCCCTGTTTTGCTTCTAAACTCGTCCGCTGAGCGCAAGCAAAAATCGTGAACAGAAGGGAAGCCATATTGAACGCTAAATCCAAGGACACTGTCTGTCGCCCCCAAACCAAGTCATGCACATTCTAAGATAATAAAGTGTCTGCTGAGGGGTCAACTTGAACAAACTTCTGGCTCCCTTGTCATCTTATCACAGCTGTCTGCCATGAGTTGAGGTTCAGTTCCTGAGTTTAAAAACATTTTTGGTGAAGTCCTAGACGTGACCGGTGAAGCCTAAGAAGTAGGATTAGCAACACATTCAGTTCCAATACGACAGGTCCCATTTTCTCGGTGCCTGTTACGGGCCTACCGCGTGCTGCGCATGCCCGTTACAGCAACAGTCCTGCAGAGTCAGGGAGGCTCCCCTTCACAGGTGGGAAAGAGGTTAAATGAGTTGCCAAGGCTGGAATAAGCACCGGGGCCAGAATCCAAACGTGTGTGGTCCCCAAACGCCCGGGGGCCTCTGCCGCAGCGTCCCCTGGCCAGGCCGCCCTGGGAAGCGCCCCGCGGCCTCCTCGGAGCCGCTGCGGCTGGCCGCCCGCCCCGTCACACCCCAGCGCAGCCACACGCGTGCAAGCTGCGTCTCAGCCGCGTCTGCGGCTGGTGGCTTCGGCCGCACTGAGGCGGACGTGATAAGCTTTTCAAATGGAACCGGCGGAGGACGTCACCGGGCCGTGCACATGCACGGCAGGTGGCTCTGGGCGGCCCCGCCGGGCTGCAGCGGGGGACAAAGGCAGGCGGGCGGCCGCCGGGCGGGGGCCTCTCAGCCCGCGGGACCCAGCGCCCCGCGCCCAGCGCGGGGGCGGGTGCAGGG